TCTTTTGGTGAAGTCTTTTGAAGAGCATAGGTGTTTGATTTTTAGAAGATCCCAGTTATCTAGCTTATCTTTTGGGGTTTGTGCGTTGATACTTATGGTTCTTTATATGTTCTTGATATTAAACTCTTAATAGATATAAGTCCCCAAATATTTTCTCTCATTCTGTAGATTGTCTCTTTGTTGATAAAGTCCTTTGATGCACAAAAGTGTTTAATTTTGATGAAGTCCAATTTTTCTATTTTTTTCTTTTGTTGCTTGTGCTTCTGGTGTCATATCTAAGAATCCATTGTCAAAAGCAAGATATTAAAGCTTTACCCCTATGTTTTCTTCTAAGAGTTTTATGGTTTTAGTTCTTATATTTAGGTCATTGATCCATTTTGAGTTAGTTTTTCTATGTGGTGTGAGATACGGGTTCAGCTTCATTCTTTTGTATGTAGAGATTCAGCTGTCCCCGCACCATTTGTTGTAGAGACTATTCTTTCCTCTTTGAATGGATTTTGCATCTTTGTTGAAAATCATTTGACCATAGATGTATGGGTTTATTTCTGGATGTTCAATTGGTCCGTATGTCTGTACTTATACCAGTACCACACTGTTTTGTTTACTGTAGCTTTATTATAGTACCTTTTGTAATTGGGAAGTGTGAGTCCTCCAACTTCATTCTTTTTCAAGGTTGTTTTGATTACTTGGGGCCCCTTGCCATTCCATAGGAATTTGAGAATGGGCTTTTTCATATCTGCAGAAAAGGAGCTTAGAATTTAGATTTAGATTGTGTTGAATCTGTGGATTGCTTTGTGTAGTATTGATATTTTTACCATATTAAGACTTCTAATCCATGAACAAGGGATATCTTTCCGTTTATTTAGGTCTTTTTAATGTTCTTTCAGCATTGTTTTATAGGATTCAGTGTGCATACCACTCTTGTTAAATTTATTCCTACGTATTCTCTTAGTTGCTATTATAAATAGAATTATTAATTTCTTTTTCTAATTGTTCATTGCCGGTGTATAGAAACACAGCTGATTTTCCTGTGTTGATCTTGTATCCTGTGACTTTGCTGAATTTATTAATTAGGTCTGGTAGATTTCCTGTGGAATCTTTGGGATTTTCTATATATAGGATCATGACATCTGCAAATAGAGATAGTTTTACTTCTTTTCTGATTTGGATGGCTTTTGTTTCTTTTTCTTGCCAGCTGTTCTGGCTTGAACTTCCAGTACAGTATTGAACAGCAGTGGTGAGAGCCATCATCCTTGTCTAGTTCAAATCCTAAGGGGAAAGCTCTCAGCCTTTCTCCATTGAGTATGATGTTAGCGGTAGCTTTTTCCTAAGTGCCGTTTATCATGTTGAGGAATTTTCCTTGTATTTCTAGTTTTTGGAGTGTTTTTATCATAAAAAGGTGTTGGATTTTGTCACATGCTTTTTCTGCATCAATTGAGATGATCATTTGAAGTGGTTTTTGAGTTGTGTTCATAGACACTTAAGCACTTGGGTAGAAGGTGCTTGGAGCTTTGGGCCTCTCACCTGGCTTTAATGAAAGCATTTCAGGTTTAATTTGTTATTATGTTGGACTTTGGGGTAAAATTTTGCTTGACGAAAAGAGTTCTGATGTCAAAAATAATTTTAAAATTCTTGTTGTATTTCTTGTCTTCCTGATTCTCAGTTATCCGTATAGTGCATTTAGTCATCACCACCCCCTCAAAGGTAAAAAAACCTAAGCTTCTTGAAATCAAGGATATTTTATCTTATTCATCTATGCTTCTTAAATATCTGTTGAATGAATGCTGGATATAGTAACAGAAGTTATTGAATAGCATGTAATTTCTATTTATTTGTTTATTTTAGCTGTCAAGTGGGAATCCTGTATATGAAAAATACTATAGACAGGTAAGATTTTTGTTTCTTTGTTTTCTTGTATTGAACATAAAATGTACTGTAAACTCTTAATTATATGCATGTACATTATCAGCCAGCTGGATAAATTTTGACAATGTACTTCTTGTGCTTTAGCCTCCTACTTTGAGTACTTAATGCTTTTGACAAGCTCTCAGAAAAATTAAGGAAAGATGATTCAGCTCACTTAGTTATCATAAATATGTTAAAAATCCATATGACTTTAGATATATTCATTTGGATATAAATATCCAAATTAATTTATAAGCCGACTAGAAATGACTTTCTTTAAGATATGTTAAAGTATAATTTCCAGAAAGTTAAAACCGTTACTGTTACACAGATATAAAATGAACATGTCAAAGATTTTATTCAGCTAATTAATAATTGACTGAACCAATAAGATGTAAAAACTAATTCAAATGAGAATATAAGTTATAGAGATTTTATATTCTCCACCAGATATAATTTATTTGCATTGCTGTGCACAAGGTTCATATGCATTACTATTTTCTATAATTTAACCACTGCCCCTTGTTGTTGTTAGCTGCCGTCCAGTTATTGCAACTTCAAACACAACAGATGGAAACTCTTCCCAGTCCACACGTCTTACCCCTACAGAGTATAAAATAGCTTGGTCAATAGAAAGTCTGTCAAAGGTATATACCATAGATTAGATAATCCCTGAGTTTACACAGTCTCATTCTCAAATTTTGGATCATTTTTTTCTAAGTCTCTTCACATTGTGATCATGATTATAGAAAAGGTTCGTTACATTACATTTGACCTTGCTATGTACATAGTTGTAGCAAGTGTCAATTAACCGTTATGGGCCTCCTTGGGTTTGGGCTTGTAAATCTAGAACCGTGCACTATTGAGCAACTTCTAATGTCAGAGAATTAACTCTGCTTGAAATTTTTATAAGGAATTTCAAGTTGTACTTTTAAAGTCTCTGTTGTCCCCCTCTCTCAAGGCTAGGATCCAAACCTTAAAAAAATCTCTCCACCATATTCAACTGTAAAACAAACAAACAAAAAAACCAAACTGATTGCCATTGAGTCGACTCCATCTCATAGCGACCCTATAGGACAGAGTAGAACTGCCCCATAGGGTTTCCAAGGCTGTAATCTTTACGGAAGCGGGCTGCTACATCTTTCTGTCTTGGAGCAGCTGGTGAGTTCTAACAACTGACCTTTCGGTTAACAGCTGAGTGCTTAACCACCATGCTACCAGGGCTCCTTTATTTCACTTCTGGTACATATAAATTTGAGTAAGTTTCTCTCATTTTCAAGTTTCCCAAATTTGTTTCTAGCCTGCTAGTAAGTGACCTTCCTTGACTACCTATAGGCTTGGGAGCTTTTAAGCCAGGTACCAGGCCAGCTTTCTTGAGAGGCTTTGTAACCATTAGCTCTACATAAAGTCAGTCCTTATTCCTTAATAATAATGACTTGTTCTGTTTGAAGAAAAGGGAATCATTCTTAAATATGACCTTGTTTTGCACAGTGGATTTACTCATTTATATCGTGATTAAAAGGAGAACAAATTGTTATTTGTTATACATGTTGTTGTTGATAGGTGCTGTTGAGTCCATTCTGACTCATAGCGACCCTATGTACAACAGAACAAAACACTGCCAGGTCCTGCGCCATCCTCACAATCGTCTTTATACTTGAGCCCATTGTTGCAGCCACTGCGGTAGCCCATCTTATTGAGGGTCTCCCTCTTCTTTGCTGACCTTCTGCTTTACCAAGCATGATGTCCTTCTCCAGGGACTGATCCCTCCTGATAACCTGTCCAAAGTATGTGAGATGAAACCTCTCCATCTTGCTTCCAAGAGCATTCTAGCTGTGCTTCTTCCAAGACAGATTTGTTCGTTGTTTTGGCAGCCCACGGTATATTCAGTATTCTTCGCCAATACCACAATTCAAAGGTGTCAGTTCTTCTTTGGTCTCCTTATTTATTGTCCAGCTTTTGCATGCCTAAGATACCATTGAAAATACCATGGCTTGGGTCAGGCGCACCTTGGTCGTCAGGGTGGCATCTTTGCTTTTCAACACTTTAAAGAGGTCTTTTGCAGCATGTTTGCCCAATGCAATGTGTCTTTGAATTTTCTTGACTGCTACTTCCATGGGTGTTGATTGTGGATCCAAGTAGAATGAAATACTTGACAACTTCAGTCTTTTCTCCATTTATCCTGATGTTGCCTATTGGTCCAGTTGTGAGGATTTTTGTTTTCTTTATGTTGAGATGTAATCCATACTAAAGGCCGTGGTCTTTGATCTTCATCTGTAAGTACTTCAAGTCCTCTTCATTTTCAGCAAGCAAGGTTGTATCATCTGCATAATGCAGGTTGTTGATGAGTCTTCCTCCAATCCTGATGCCCATTCTTCATATAGTCCAGTTTCTCAGATTATTTGTTCAGCATACAGATTGAATAAGTATAGTGAAAGGATACAACCCTGACACACAAGTTTCCTGATTTTAAACCACACAGTGTCCCCTTGTTCTGTTCTAGCTACTGTCTCTTGGTCTATGTACAGATTCCACATGAGCACAATTAAGTGTTCTGGAAATCCCATTCTTTCCAGTGTTCTCTATAATTTGTTATGATCCACACAGTCGAATGCATTTGCATATTCAATAAAACACAGGTAAACATCTTTGTGGTATTCTCTGCTTTCAGCCAGGATCCATCTGATATCAGCAGTGATATCCCTGGTTCCACATCCTCTTCTGAATCTGGCTTGAATTTCCAGCAGTTCCCTGTGGATGTACTGCTGCAACTGCTTTTGAATGATTTCAGCAAAATTTTATTTGTGTGTGATGTTAATAATGTTGTTCCATAATTTCCACATTCCGTTGGATCACCTTTCTTGGAAATAGACATGAATATGCATCTCTTCCAGTTGGTTGGCCAGGTTGCTGTCTTCCAGATTTCGTGGCATAGTTGAGTGAGCGCTTCCAGCGCTGTATCCGTTTGTTGAAACATCTCATTTGGTACTCCGTCAATTCCTGGAGCCTTGTTTTTTGCCCATGCCTTCAGTGCAGCTTGGACTTCTTCCTTCAGTACCATTGGTTCTTGATCATATGCTACCCCCTGAAATGGTTGAATGTTGACCAGTTCTTTTTGGTACAGTGACTCTGTGTATTCCTTCCATCTTCTTTTGATGCTTCCTGTGTCCTTTGATGTTTTGCACATAGAATCCTTCAGTATTGTAACTCAAGGCTTGAATGTTTTTCTTCAGTTTTTTCAGCTTGAGAAATGCCAAGCTTGTTCTTCCCTTTGTATTTTCTAAGTCCAGGTCTTTGCACATGTCATTATAATACTTTACTTTGTCTTCTTGAGCCTCTCTTTGAAATCGTCTGTTCAGCTCTTTGACTTCATCGTTTCTTCCATTCACTTTAGCTACTCAGTGTTCAAGAGCAAGTTTCAGAGTCTCTTCTGACATTCATTTTGGTCTTTTCTTTCTTTCTTGTCTTTTTAATGACCTCTTGCTTTCTTCATGTATGATGTCCTTGATGTCATCCCATAGCTTGTCTGGTCTTTGGTCAGTAGTGTTCAGTGCATTAAATCTATTCTTGAAATGGTCTCTAAATTCAGGTGGGATATACCCAAGGTTGTAGTTTGACTCCTGTGGACTTGTTCTAATTTTCTTCAGCTTCACCTTGAACTTGCATTTGAGCGATTGATGGTCTGTCCCATAGTTGGCCCCTGGCCTTCTTCTGACTGATGATACTAAGCTTTTCCATTGTCTGTTTCCACAAACGTAGTCAGTTTGATTCCTGTGTATTCCATCTGGTGAGGTCCATGTGTATAGTCACCTTTTATGTTGAGAAAACATTTTTTTAATGAAGAGGTCGTTGGTCTTGCAAAATTCTATCATACGATCTCCAGTGTCAATTCTATCACCAAAGCCACATTTTCCAACTACCGATCCTCCTTCTTTGTTTCCAACTTTTGCATTCCAATCGCCAGTAATTATCAATGCATCTTGATTGCATGTTTGATCAATTTCAGACTGCACTAGTTGGTAGAAATCTTCAATGTCTTCCTTTGGCGTTAGTGGTTGGTGCATAAGTTTGAATAATAATCGTATTAACTGGTTGTCCTTGTAGGCATATGGATATTTTGCTATCACTGACAGTGTTGTACTTCAGGATGGATCTCGAAATGTTCTTTTTGATGATGAATGCAATGCCATTCCTCTTTAGTTTGTCATTCTTGGCATAGTAGACTATATGATAGTATATATAGGTATAACTATGTATACGTGTACATAGTTATACCTATATAACTATATTGCCATGAAAAGTAAAGATATTCAGTAAAAGTATTTATTTTTGAATTCTGGGGGATCGATGAGAATCAGATATCATTTAAAACTATATCACTTAACTTTTCAAAAGCAGAGTCTGCTAAATTGAGGGTTCGAGATAGCCTAAAAGGAAGGGGAAAGTGCGTCTTCATATATCCATTAAAAAATAGAACATTAAAAATAATTCCAAGTCAATAGCCATGATAAACTTTTCCTTAGCTGTTCATTCAATATGTATAATTAATTCGTGTTCTGCTAGAACTTAGGTTAGCAGTCTGCTTTTGTGAAGTACATACATCTACTTCTGGACTGAGAAGAGTTCTGGAAATCCTATGTCAGTCCACCAGTATAGTCTGAAAGTTGTCTAGCTGATGTCAACTTGGAAGCCTTTACCCAAATGTCTACTTTTTGAAGTGTTAATAACTGAGATTACATGGTGTAGTCCTTTCCATGAGGCACTGAGACTTCCTTTTTTGGAGATGAGATTGTAGCCTGTAGCTTATGGCAGAGCCTATAGGCAAGCATCAGAGTATGACCTAAACTACCTGTAGGTGACAAAGACCGAATGGCTGTGTTTAATTTATTATAGTAACCAAAAGTATGGAGGGGAGTAAAATTCTTTATTAGGATATAGTACATAAACATTTCATAAGAGTTTGATCAGTGTTTCCCCTGAGTGCCTCTATGTTTAGGTTATGCTGGGGTGGGGATTCCTTTTCCACCTTGGTCAGAGAGTGAGTGGACAAATGAAAGGAGTTCTGTAGAATTCTACAGGCAAGTTTCCCAACACTTTCTGTACTTGTTTGTTACCTCAAATTTGAAGGATTGGGCAATTTTTTCCTTTTTGCTGAGTGCCTCATTTATCCCATGTTCTAGGACTTGAAAGAAAGAACTTCTCTTTTTGCTTCTTTGCTGGGATTGGCCTGTCTGGAGTGCTTTGTATATATTTACAGTAAAGTTAATCTTTTAACTAAACTGGAAAAACAGCTATATCACAAAAATCCTAATATCATTTTACCTTACCCATGATTTTTTAAAAATTTGCTTTTTATTTTTATAAATAGAACTTTATGTTAGGAAATCTTTACAAAAGAGAGGGTGATTATACTTTACTATGGCTGTTTTTGTCTTGTTTTACCAACACCAATTTTTTTTTTTTAAAGTTTTTTTGTTGAAAATATACATTGCAAAACATACCACTTCAACTGTTTCTACATGTACAATTCAGTGACATTGATTACATTCTTTAGGTTGTGCAGCCATTCTCACCATCCTATACTAAGTTGTTCCTCCCCCATTAACATAAACTTACTGCCCTCTGAGGTTCCTATCTAATCTTTTGAGTTGCTGTTGTCATTTTGATCCTGTATAAAAACTCATTGCTGTCAAGTTGATTCCAACATAGAATTGCCCCATAGGGTTTCCAAGGAGCTACTGGTAGATTTGAACTACCAACCTTTT